TCCTAACTTCTAAATAAATTAAAATTAAAATTTTAAAATATGTAATTTTTTAATTAAAAGTCAATTTAAAATTTAAAAATCTATCTTATTAAATATTAATATTTAAATTTAAAAACTAATTAAATTTTTAAATTTTAAATTAAAATTTCAATTTCTAAATATAAGTTAAGATTCTAATTTTTAAAAATCGAATTAATACATATTAATCTCTAATTTAATTAATAAAAATAATTAATAATTAATCATTAATATAACAGATGATATTTATCAATAAAATTAAACAAAATCAATATTTTTAAAAATAATATTTTATAAAATTTGGTAACCATAGCATTAATAATGATGGTAGGGTTTCTCCCGTGCATTGCTTTTAGGGTTGAGAGTAGTGGCGACGAGTTTTCCTTTCTAGGATTTCTCTCCGGCATAGGAGTTCCTTCATCTCTCCTTTCTTCTTACCCCTCCCTTCCTCCTCTTGATTTCCTCCTTCCTCTTGTCTATGTCTTGCTTTGGATACTCCAATCCAAGGGATCACAAAGCAGCGGCTTTTTGGGTTTTCTAGGGTTTACATATGTTAATTTTCAAAGGCTACGATTCTTGCTTTGGATACTCCAATCCAAGGGATCACAAAGCAGCGGGCTTTTAGGTTTTCTAGGGTTTACATATGTTAATTTTCAAAGGCTACGATTATAATTGACCTTGTCGGTGAAGTGGGTTTCTCCTATTCAACAGGCAAGAATCTCGCTTTGGTGCATCTCCTCGGATGGGATATTGGCGGGGGTCGATTCGATGAATCTGGTTCACACCAGTTCCCGATCAGCTAGCCGATCGTCAAAGGAATAGGATGTTGTTGGTAACGCCAGCTACGATCTGTGTGGGAAGCCTAATTTTCAAGCCAAAAAAGGAGCTCTAGTTCCCTTAATGAGTTTCGACAACATGGGCTTAAAGAGGATCGACAAAGATGGGAACATGATTAGGAGTATATGGAGGCAACTAGGGCCTTGTACTTATCAAGAAAAGACCCACACCCTTCTTGGTTCTTCTTTTTTAAGAACAAGTAGGGTGGCAACCTGTGAGTTGGGGACTGTTTGTTGCTAGAATATCTTGCCTTCCCCAAGAACCTAGTTAAATAAGTGAGGATCTCCAGTAGTTGTTGAAGCTCATAGTGACTTCCCTTTCTACATTAATAACCCTATTTAGCCTATATAACGATTATAAATTCCATCTCTAATTGTAGATTGCTCTCTTTGCTTAATTGTCTATATCCGTCATAGGTATAGTTTAAGTCTGTTACTAGTACTATAGGTTATGTTTTTGATTTTCTTCTTACGTTATTTTGATTTTGGTTATATGCTATAAGATGGAGACTGTTGTAATTTCTTATTACTTAATATATTTCTCTATTTCTCATTAAAAAAAAAAATTAATGATGGTCATAACTTGCTCTCTAGTTATGGCCAGACAAAAACTTGTATACCTTGTTAACCTCACACAAATTTTATTTTATTTAGTATTGTTTACACCTAATTTTACAACAAATGAAGCGTTGCCACATGTCACCCATGATGGCAGATATTTTATTAGTTGAAAGTTGGTGTAAATCTCTTCAAATGAGATTGAGCGGTTATTTCCACAATGGCAGCAAAACCGTTCTCTTGTTGCAAGCTTCTAGGAGAATAATTGCAGCACCAACAAATTAATCGATTTGTTGTAGATATCACGCTGCCGTTGGTTTTTCAAAATGCTGCCGTAGATCTCCACCATGCTGCCAAGGTGTTATAAATAACTAATGATAAGATCAAGCAAACAATCGACATCTCACACAACAAACTCAGCACAATTTCTCTTTATGCTCAAATTCATCTTAGTTTCAAGCCCTTTAATTTAATTTCAACTCTACGTTTCAACCTAGATTAGTTTAGTAATTCAGCTCTTCATTTGTTGGATTTATAATGGTGAGTTTCATTGCCTTCAATAGTTTTTCTTTGTGATCAGATTGCTTCTTTTCCTTTTCTATTTTCCAAGTTTCATTTAATTAAATCAAATGATGTAGACATTTAATTTCATGTTCACTTCCATTTCTGTTAATTTATATTTCATGCTGCCAGTAGATTTTCCGTGTTTTCGATTTTATTTACTTTAACTTAATTTACCTTTGTTGCAATTAAATTTCCTTTTAAAGCTCTGTTTCAATCCAATTTGCGTATTTAAAGTTCATTTAGATTTTCAGTAGTTTAGCGATCATTTATTTTCCTTGCAGCATTAACTTTTCTTGATTACATTAGCTTTGAGGAGTCCTTGGAATTATATCCAGGGCATTTTGCCATATAACCCATTTAGTGCAGGAAGTTCATCCCTCGTTTCTGCCAATTGTCTGATCTTTAAGACACAATTTACGACATTCTTCCATCAAGTCACAAGCTGAGTTCCACGCTTGGAAAGAAAAGAGGGTCGTTAGAGAAATCTTTCTTATTTTGAGCAAAGCAAGTGGCACATGATTTCATCTACCACGTGTCAAGGAGTTTTTTTGGGATAACAATCTCTTTTTGACACGCCCAGTGGGACCTCCTGCTGCCGATCATCTATCAAGAAAAGTTTTTTTATCCTCTTTTTGCTTTTCCTGGGCATAAAGTAGCCATAGCCATGCCTAGGAGAGTTGGAAAAGAAGTTGCACAGCAAGTGGAATTCACTCCTGTGAGTCCAAGACATTCTGAAAGTGAAAATAATCTGAAGCATCTTCCACCTATTTCTCCCTTAGCTGATCGCTCATATGGCAATCCCATATATCGCAATGATGATGAGGAGAAGGTTGATTCTACTGAGTCAAGCAATAAAATATCTCAAGAACTTCAGCAGATAAGGAAGCTGCAAGAAGAAGCCAATCAGAATATAAAGCGTAGTCTAGAAAGCTTTCTACAAGCCCAACAAAAACAGTAAGATCATTTCACTCAATATATGAATGTTATTGAAAGGGCCATTAATGAAAATTCTCGAGCTATTCAAGAAGAAGTAGCAGAAAGTCGCAGAACCTTCACTGCAGTTTCTAAGAGAACCATAGAACATGTTCGACAGAAGCAAAATGTTCCAAGGCAACCCGTACCTCCAGCAATGGAATTGCCATAGCAAATCTTCCAAATCCTTTGCCCGAGGGGCATATTAATCAGCCACAGGTGGTGCAATAGATGCCCAATGCTCAAAATAATGCTCTTGGTGCAATCCAGGTGCAATTCAATAGGCAGCAGCAAAACAATCCTGCTGGTGGCATCCTTAGACCACAAGATCTTGTGGAAGCAACATTTCGTGTAGCTGAGCAACTCAACGCCAATCAACAAAGATATGTACCTCCTGCACGTCATCCAAATCCAGCCCCACAACCCAACTGTCAAAATAATGCCTTTCAACCATTAGGGCAGCAAGCAGCACCCCCTCCCTTAGATAGAAATCAACTGATTGATTTAGTCCAGGAGACATATGGTCCAGCTTTAAGACCATTGGTTCGTCCTTCCTATCACAAGCCGTATCCAAATTACATAAATCAAGATAATCCATTTCCTCATGGATTCAAAGTGCCTGAATTTACCTTGTTTTCTGGGGACGCGAGTCAATCAACCATTGAACACATTGGTAGGTTCACTATTCAATGTGGGGAAGCATCGGGTGATGATTTTTTGAAGTTAAGACTCTTCCCAAGTTCTTTAATGGGTACTGCACTGACATGGTACCTAAGTTTGCCACAAAATTCTATGTTTACCTAGAGACAAATGGAAGATTTGTTTCATATTCAATTCTACCACTCAGAGCCTAAGATATCCATGGCTGATCTTTCTAGATTGACTCAATGGCCAGGGGAATCTTTTGAAAATTATCTTTTGCAGTTTAGAAAAGCCCAAATGAAGTGTCATGTTGCCTTACCAGAGCAAGAGTTCATGAAGCTTGTTCAGAATGGTTTAAACATTGAACTTCAAAAGAAGTTTGAGGGGATGGAATTCAGAGACTTCTTTGAGCTCTCTTATAAGGTGGCACATTATGAGAACCTTTTAAGAGAGGAATCCCAAAGAAAGGCAGCATCGTAAGGAACTTATCATCAGGATGCTTTTGACCTTGATGTTGCCGAGGTCTTTGCAGACAAGCCAGTAACTTGTCCTAATCTAGTGAAAGTCACTCAACAGGTTGAGGCGGCTGCAAAGCGTCTCCTGTATGAATCTGGGAGACAATACACATTTGATGTGACTAAAGCAAATGAAATATTTGATTATCTGAAAAAGTCAGGACATATTAAGCTGCCGCAGGGGCCTAGGCTCCCGACGGTTGTTGAAATTGCATCCAAAGATTACTGTAAGTTCATAACTCCTGGAAACACTCTACTAATGACTGTGTTATTTTTCAAAATGTGTTGCAAGATAAGATTAACAAAGGGCTGCTTCATTTCCCTGAAAAACCCAAAGAAGCCATGGGGGTTGACGAGAATCCTTTTCTGAATGTTGATGATGGAGTTAATGTTGTTGACATAAGGAGCATCTCTCGAAGAACGTATAAAGGGCGAACTTTGGTTGCAGATGACCTTCGCTGGGTGAGTGAGAAAGAAAGGGAACATCGTGCCCAACAGAATCAGAGGCTCGATGGGCAACGCCATGCTGCTAGAATCTATGCATCAGGATTCAGGATGAAGGAGGCTCAGCATACAGATCGCTCTCATATGGTTAAGCATCCACAACGACGTCCAAGTAAAAGGTGGGAGAAGGTCGTGCATCCCAAGTTTCCAAAAGAACATGTGAAAAATCCTAGAACTTTGAGAAGAAGGTTGCAGCGAAAGCAAGTAGAGGCACGTCACCGTCAACAATTAGCTATTGAGGAAGTTAAGGTTCCACAACGTTCTCCCGCAAAGGGAAGGATGGTGTGGAAGAGAAAGGAGAGTTAAGAGGTTGCTATCTAGAATGAATCTCAGTCAAAAGTGCCACCTTTTAAGCTCACGTCACTAATCGTCAATGAAAATGAGTTGAAGGCAACATTTGAAGCAGATCAGCAAGCAGAGTTGACTAGCAATGATAATCTTCTTAAGGACATGGATGTTCTGCAGATCGACGACATCTCTATTAATCTCTCTTGTTTGGTTCTCACACTTCCTTTGGTTTTTCAAGCCAAGGGCAACGAGAGTACCCATGTTCCTACCCATGTTTCCACGGGTAGTATGGTTGTTGAAGAAGAAGTGATAGAGGTTCCAACCCAAGAAGAGGAAGAGGAGAATGATATCCTCTCAGAACAAATTATCTTTGACAAACCAAATGAAAGTGTGGCTCGTCATATAAAGCCACTCTACATTTAAGCTCACATGGATGGAGTTCCAGTTAATCGAGTCCTTGTTGACAATGGAGTAGCAATCAATGTCATACCTTCTTTTATGCTGAGGAATTTGGGTAAAAATTCTGAGGACTTAGTTTATACTGACGTAACTATCAGTGATTTCACAAGTGGTGTTAGCAAATCAAAAGAAGTGTTGCCAGTTGCACTTACTGTCGGCAGCAAGACGTCAATGAGTGCTTTCTTTGTTGTAAACTCTTCTGCAACTTACAATGCTTTACTGGGACGTGATTAGATCCATTCGAATTGGTGTGTTCCACCTACTCTCCATCAAAGACTCATTTTTTGGAATGGAGGCAAAACTGAGGTGGTTCATGCTAGCAGTAGACCATTCTTAACCAATTCCAATGTGGTGGAAGCACGGTACTATGATGAAGATGTAGGAACCATCCGTTTCTTCGGCATGGATAGATAAGGAAGACTTCGTGGAATCACTATTTGCAACAAGCTTACTACCTTGGCTAAGTATGTGGTTGACGAGGTATGCAATGAACTCTTGCGGCCTATTGCTATTATTCTGTACAGGCCGCAAAAAGAGCCCAAAATTGAGGAGTTATTATAAAGAAGTCCAAGATAAACAAAGAAAGAAGGGAGGCCATATCTAAAATTCTAAAGAAATTAGTGGCATATTTTGTTGAAAGAAATACAGAAGCAAATCTGTCGGAGGTAGTAGATAAAGGTGATGAGGACACCCATACCAACAGAGTCACAACGGAAGAGTTAGATCTGGCCCTTGTGAAGCTGGATGACCTCAGGGCCGATGTACAAGATCCATTGAAGGAAGTTAATCTGAGAACGAAGGCAGAGCCACGCATTACTTTTGTCAGTGGCTTGCTATCGCTAGAGATGTGAGATAAAATAATCTGTTTACTACACAAATTCAAAGACTACTTTGCCTGGGATTATTCTGAGATGCCAAGTTTAGACCGAGAGTTGGTAGAGCATAGACTACCAATCAATAAAGGATATAAGCTGTACAAATAGCCGCCACGTCGTATGTCTCCAAAAGTGATTTTGAAGGTGAAGGAAGAAGTAGAGCGGCTACATAAAGTTGGTTTTATACGGACAACCAAGTACTTAGAATGGTTGTCTAATATTATTCCAGTAGTGATAAAGAATGGAAAGCTTAGAGTCTGCATTGATTTTCGAAACTTAAATCTAGTCACACCAAAGGATGAAGACCCCATGCCAGTAGCAAATTTACTTGTTGATGGGGTTGCATACCATCGCATTTTATCTTTTATGGATGGGCATAGTGGCTATAATCAGATCTTTATTGCAAAGGAAGACACAAGTAAAATGGCGTTTCATTGCCCTGGAAACATAGGTACGTATGAATGGGTTGTGATGCCGTTTGGGTTGAAAAATGCAGGAGTTACATATCAACAGGCCATGAATGCAATTTTCCATGATATGATTGGCCGCTTCATGGAGATTTATATCGATGATGCTGTTGTCAAATCCATGGAGGATGAAGAAGATTTAGAGCACTTGAGGAAAGCTTTTAAAAGAATGCGACAACATGGTTTGAAGATGAATTCTCTCAAGTGTGCTTTTGGTGTTACAGCAGGAAACCTTTTGGGTTTTCTGGTCCATGAACGAGGCCTAGAGGTGGACAAAAACAAAGCAAGGGCCGTAATTGAAGCGCGGCCACCACAAAATAAAAAGGAATTACAAAGGTTTCT